TTTTTTTTTTTTTTTTGCATTTTAATATCTTTTCGGATTTACTAGTCATATTATTAATATTATTATATAAACAGTTTATCTCCAGAGTACACTAATATGCACAATTATCTCAAGTGTGCTCTAAGGTAGGTATGGTTACAGCACACACTGGTATTGTCTTAAATGTCTCCATCCACCACAATCCCAACACCCCCTGATTATTAAGAGGTATGGGTCTCTCTCTTTCATTTTTTTTTTTTTGACCTTTTTAAAAAATGGTATTCTTTAGTCTTTTCCCTTTAGTTTTGTTGTGCTGTGCTTTAAGTTTCATAAGGAAAACTATTTGATCTATGATACTGAGTTTTTAATGTTTTGACCTCACCATTGGTTCTGAACAGCTTTGTCATTATCTGTCTGGTGTACATCTTTCTGTTATGATGTTGCTTGCAACTTTTGGGGCCTTAGCTCATACTTTCTGGATCCATAAAATGCCAGTTAAGAAATATAGTTAGCTTACTGACAGTGGAGAGAGATTATGTGGGAAATTGAAACAAGCGTGAAGTCAACATGAGGAAGAACATAAATTGCTTCCCTTTGTCTTTAGAACTGAGTGAACCTTGTTACTAAGCAACTAGACATGTGATTATTACATCAGAGACAAAAAGTGAGAGAATTTTGTTTTTTTCATATGTGATTTCAAGTAAAATTCTCTTTGCATAATTATGGGCAACTAAACTAATATGTCAAAGACTGTAGTTAGAAAGGACTGTGGAACCATTGTTTGTTCTGGTGAGTCTTTCAAGAATTTATTTTTAAGGAGAAACACTAATATTGTTGCATACATGAATACATAAATACACAAACACACAAATATCAAGAATCACTACCAACATTTCTGATATTGATTTAGATATGCAACATTTTCCCCCCTATTCTACTAAATGTCACTTTTTAAAACCACAGAGTTGAATTTTTGATGGATTGTTAATGAGGATAAGAATGAAAGTGGAAATTAAGATATACACAAATTGATTCACTTGATGCAAAACTGGAGGGATACATATTTTAAAAAGGTAGAGCTAACTGATCTCCTGAAATTCTCTTCAAAGATAAAAACTGACAAAGTTAGATTCTATTAATTGTTTGCTTCTGGAGTCATTGAATAAAATAATGTAATGGCAAATGTAGTCTGACAAAAAATATTCTCTGGAGATCATTTTCTTGTAACCTCTTGGCAAGGCAAGGTGATATAAATAAATTCCAGGGCATTGTATTGGTAAACTCACTCAAACATCTCTATATTTTTACAAAGATTTTCTATCACAATGAAAACTGATAATCTATGATAATTACCAGATATATAAAGAGAGATATAGAGAACAAATAGTTACAATGGTTTTATTCACATTTTACAAATACAGCACACCAAAATTTCACTAAATTGACTAGTTTATTCTGTATAAACTTTTGACATTGATGAAATTCTCCTTCCCTTTAGCACTAGAAAAAATTCCAAATGCTGTGAAAACAACATTCACTTTATGATAAGATGTTCAAGCTGAAATAAGTTCCCCTCCAAATATCTGTAATAGAAAAAACATCAGACCATTATTAAATATCCCCCAAATGAGAGCTCTTGGTATTAAAATCAAGCAAACATCTTTGAAATCCCATACAGAGTTGATCAAAGGAAAATGACACAATGTGAACTTTCATCCTAGGTTCAGTATGTTGATGAGGAATTAAATACAGATCAGAAAGTTAAGGAATATAGACCAGAAAGCTGAAATCATTGAAAGCATAAACTCTTGAATTACCTGCTCCTCATTTCATCCTATAGGATCACATCTCAATTTGGGTGTTTCCACATCTTAAAAATCCCCCTAAATACACTCCGTACTGTATTACTCGAGCAGTTGTGGCAGTGTGCAGTGGGAATGGCCAAGGCAGGGCAAAGCAGTGAGCTAGAGTTTTGTGATGAGTGAGTCAATTCTGGTTGATATGATAAAGTAGAGGTGACTTCATACCAGGTAAAAAGAGGGAACTTTCATAATTGGAAAAAGTGGAAGGCCAATATATTTAAGTCATTTATTTGAGGACTGGATCTTGCTTACGATAAATGCTACAGTTAGTACTCAGTAGGTTAAGAGTTGGACAGACAGAGATTATAAAATACAGATCAATTGTTATGATTGGTTAAAATGATTTAGTAAGGTTAAAATAAGGTGGGTGTTTCATGACTTAGTTACATGCTTGCATGTAAGTAAAATCATAAGCAGGTTCTGCACAAATACTGCAGATACCACTTTCTGAGATCTTTGTAGGTTTGATTTGGAAGTTGGTAGAAATGCCAAAAAGAAGGCAAAGAGCTGCTTACTTCTTTATCTAAGCTAAGGAGGCTTCCAGTTGAGCGGTTCGACTTGGCTCAGGTGATAACAGCACATTGCAGTAGGACTTCTCTGTTGGAAATCTCTGCTGCACCTCACATTGGAAACAGGTAGATTTTGGGAAAACATGTAGGAACAGGCACTTTCCTTGAGGAAATTGAGTAGACTGATCATATAAGGGCAATTCATAAGCACGTGACACATTTTCCAGAAAGAAGAGAGCATGGAATGGCAGTACTAGATTGGAATATGATGAAGGAAATGGGTGAGGGACAGCAGGAGTGACAGATCCTTATTCAGGCACCTTTCATCTATATGTCAATACTCTGCAGTCATTGTGAACAATGTGCTTCCATTTCTCTAAAATGACCTTAAGATCCATTGTGTTTCGATTTGTCTGAGTGTTCATCATGTCTTTTACTGCAAACTCTTAGCTAGTTAATGACCAAACAATGACTGAAGATATCCTGTGGACAGTCGCACTAGGTAAATACAAGTAGACATCAGGGAAATCCATAGTGTGTTATCTTTACCATTCTGTCCAAATTTTTGTTGAGGGCAATTATATTTTAGGCTAGCATTTTATATCCATGGTTTATAGTGTGTAGAACAGTATTTGAAAAATTGAGGGTTTAAATACATTTTTTCAAGATGAAAATGACTTCAGAATTGACAGCCCAACCATGGAATAATAGTAAAACATTTCTCATTGTAGGAACAGGTGTAAAGCTTGATACTATTGAGATACATTTATGTCGGCATTTCCCAAAGAAGGTGCATATGAGTAATTCTGATTTGAGTTCAATACATTTGAGTCTTGAACTTGACTTGGGTAACTTGTCATCCCAAAATGCAAAGACTTTGCCATCTTTGCTCTTGTAAAACTTTACTTCTTCCCAATACATTCGTTCCTCCCATGGGATGTATTGATTTTGTTTGCATTTCCAAAGATACTTAATTTGCCATCAGTGCAGTCCGATCTCCAAGTACATTCCACTGAGAATGCTTTATTCCTGTTATGGGACAGAAGTTTTGAGACATACTTTTATTAATACACAAGCAAATGCTAACACTCCGTGAATATCCACTTATTCGCCCTGATATTGCTCCATCAATGCAACCATCATCACCCACTAGTGATTAACCCTCCTGGTAGATCCTATGTGTGTGCTTTGATCCTGCGTGTTGAAAGAATTAGGTGAAAAGAAGAATGTATATAGAGGAGCTAGGCAAGAAGTAATTTTTAAACAAATATTAAATACAATAAATTATACATGCATACATGTGACATAAATAGTGGCATGCATCAAATGTATTTGGTGCATATACATAAGGTGATAATGTATATCAATGTATGTTACATATAGAAACAGCAAAGAAATTATATAATAAATATTTAATTAATATATTAATTATTATTAATTAATATTTTAATACTACTCTTAGAGACTTACTAAATTGTCAATTAGACTTCAAAGGAAAACCTTTCAATTAGTGTTTTTATCAGTCTGTATGCTTATTCAAGACTTGTTTACTGAAACATATACAGTAGACATTTCGGTAAAGAGTCTTGTTTTGTATGTTTACTGAGGAAATGTTCATATACAGTCCTGTGTTCAGATGAGAAAGCAAAGAGTGTCAGTCTGTGCAGCAACCGCTCTTCACAGCCTCAGGGTCTCCCCCTGTGTCTGCAGTGTGGGCTCCATTCTGTCAAGTGGGCTCACGTCTTGAGCCAAGCTCTAGTCCATGTAGCCAGCCCTTCCCCTTCCC